CAACAAAGGAACTCCAGAGCACCAAGGAGTGAGCCCATAGTGCCCAGCCAACCTCCAGGCCACCTTTCCACAGCTCTCTGTCCATCCTGAAAACTTCTAAATTCATGAAAAGCACATGGAAACACTCACAAAACCAGCATCCATTCAGAGCCATCCAGTGAAGTGGCACCACTCTGCATCAAGGGGTCTCTGAGCACAAACTCCTGCAGTTTTGGGGATCTTTTTGAAGATGAACCACCACAGCCTGGCCCTTTTATTATTCCAAGCTCCTTTTCACACTGCCATGGAGAGGAGGCAGCAACTGCCCTTGGGTCTGATCCCTTGTGATTTCTATCCTCCTTATCAGTGTGATATCTACCTGTGACTGTGGTGGGCTTAGTGACTCCAGAGGTGTTTATTCACAGTTAGAAGATGAAAAAGAGCTCTGGAAAATGAAGAAATGAACAAGGCAGACTTGCTTTTAGTTCTGCATTTCTCAGGAAAGGATCAGGCTTCTCTGGTAGGGCTATGTTGGCTCAGGGGTGGCTGCAGGAGGACTCGGTGCCCACTGGGATTTCTGAGCAGGTTAATCAGCCTGGCAGAGCTCTGGGAAGGATGCTGGGAGACAAAAGAAAATCTCCTCTTGGCACAGAACACCCTGAGAATTGGTAGCAGCCTCCTGGGAACAGCTCCCCTTTTCTTTCCCTCCATATGGAAAAAAAGTTTTTATGGGGTCTTGGCCAGTTGAGCAGCACAGGGAAACAGGCACTGGGCTCATGCTCCAACCCTGGCATTTCCCTCCAGCTTCACTGTGGGGTCTTTGCAATCCTTGCAGACAGGAGGGAAAACTGAGCTGTGCACAGAAAAGAAAGAAATCCTGGAGAGAGGGATGTGTAATCTGGCTGGAAAAGGCACTGGAGCTGGCTCAGTGCCTCTGAGACAGCCAGGGCTGGCCCCAGACAGGGGCTGAGAGCACCCAGAGCCAGGGACAGAGGCATCACTCTGGCCTGACACAGCCCAGGAGCTCCTGGGAAGGAGGGAAATGTTTATCAGACCCTGCCTGGTGCCAGGGTTGTGGAGGAAAAGAAAAGGGGTGGGAAAGGAGGGAGTGCCCACACTCAGAGCTGAGGTAAAACCAGCTCCAGACTGGTGGTGTTCATCATCCTGATGGCACTGGGAGTCTTCTTCATTCAGTCCTGACTTTCATGTTAGCTGCAGATTGTTAAGGTGGAGGGAGGGGATTTGGGATAAAAAGTGTTTAGGGTGCAGTGCCAACAAAACCCCCAAACTCTGACAAAGACAGGGGCAAAGTGCATTGAGGTAATCCACACATCCTTCTGCTGGAGCTGGTCCTGACAGAGTCACCAGTGCTGGACTTGTGGTGGGTATGGAAAGGTGATGGTGGCGGCTCCTTACCCTGGGTCTTCATGGAATCATCACAAA